TCGTGGAGCCTATAATTTCGTTGATTTTGTTTGAGTTAAAGGTACTGTTATATTTTGGTGACTCTTTAGCTGTGAGTAGAATGAGTGAAAAAAAAGACATCATTCTGTTTGTGCAGTCAAAAGCTGTTTTAATAAGGGTTATACCTACAAGAAAACATTCTTTAGTTTTCCCAAGGACCCAAACCGATAAGTACCACATTATAAGAAATTTTCATTATTAAAAATACAATTTATACGGGGTGTCCCATTAGTGCGTTATTGTTCATTATTTTGTTGTAGGCACGCAAGAAAGTTTTAAATAAAAGTTATATGGATTTGAAAAATACCTATATATTTTAAAAATATTTTTGGATATACAGGGTGTCACGTTTTTGCCTGGCAAATTAAAATGTATGTTTTTTAAATGGAACACCTTGTATTTTATTTTATGATGAAATTATTAACACCCTAAATTATTGTAAAGACGAATTGCTACAGAAAAATTTAATCAGGTATGTGTGTGGTTACCTTTTAATAAAAGCCTTGCGGATCCACTCCTGCGATACCTGTCTTAAATATAACAAAGATCACGTTGAATTAGATGATTTTTCTTTTTATTGCTTATTAAAGGTATATGATAACGCCAATTCAGATACATTTGGAAATCTGCAACTGTCAAATGATGAATTTGTAGAACTAATATTCAATATTGAAAACATATTTCAAAATAATTTTGAAGAATTGGCTACAAAAAATAACATTTGTACCACACTTTTAGAATTAATTAACCCAATACCCTTTAGTCATCCATGCTAACGTTTTCCAAAAGAATAACTTATTTTATTATATGTTTAATCTCAATAACTAAAAAATATACTGACAATTAGTTTGACAGAATTGTCATTTATTTAAAATTTTAAAAATAATAGCAGTCGGTTGATCAAAATATGAACGGTGATTGGCGAATTTATTTTTTTTTGCAGTGTTCTCACTACCTAGAATGGATATTAAATATATTCGTTCAATTGAAGGCAATAGCATACTTTTTCGTTTTGTAATCTGTCCATGGATATTAGCCAATCTACGCACATACTACAAAATGAAAAAGTATGTTATTGCGTTCAACTACGAATATATTTTATATCCATTTTAGGTAGTGAGAACACTTTAACAAAATTAAATCTACAAATCACAGTTCATATTTTGGTCACCCAACTCCTATTATTTAAAATTTTTTAAATAAGTGACAATTCTGTTAAACTAATTGTCAATATATATTTTAGTTATTGATATTAAATATACATTAAAATTTTTGTGTAGACTCGATAAATAATAGCATTTTTGTTTTTATTGTGTCCACATTTAAAAAAAAATTAATTTTAATCAAACTACATGATACTAATTTAATTACGAGTATTAAAACTAAAGTCCTGAAAGTTTCGGTGAAGATGAGGACAGAGCATCTGCCTTCCACGCGAAAAGCCCTGGATCGAATCTAGGCCGAGGACTAATTAATTTTTCATGTTTATTTTATTTTATAAATTAGTCAACTTCGTAAATTATTTTAAAATTAGTTATTTTGTCTAAATAACCTAAAATAATTTTTTAAATTTGTAGATTTTCGTTAGTGGGTCGTAGAAAAAATATACTGACCATATCGAGTGGATTGTTCATATCACAATCAGACGATTGAGTACTCCGCCTACGACGTCGTGCTCAAACTTCGTCTTTGTGTGATATGGCTATCATATCCACCCTTTTTTTTTTGAAAGAGTAAAACCAAATTTGGTAGATTTTCACACTTTTATTTTAAAAATAAAAATTTTTAAACAAACACTAACATGACATATGTTTCGAAGTACAACTTCTTTTTCAAATGTGACTATTTACAATTCGGTATCCAATATATATACAAAATAATTTAACAAAACAAAGTACTTAAGAAAACATCAATAACATTACAAAATAAACTAACTATTTAAAGTAAATAAGGGTACTTAGGTAATTATAATATCCATCAAATAACAATAAGATAGCCCATTACCGGGATTATCTCAAAGAAAACTGGGAAAGAGGTTTAATAAGGGTGAATTATTAATGTCTAATTGATCATTTAGTAAGTTATCTGAATTTTTAAATCTATTTATTTCAAGTGTTTCTAAATGGTTTAATTTAAGGCTCTTATTTTCTACATGTAAAATTTCAAAGTTGTCTGTAAAAGAATGATTTTCAGCTAAAATATGATTTGAGTAAGTAGAATTATTTTTGTTTTTTGTATAGCTATTATAATTTTAATTCAAAGTTAGTAGACAACATTTTAGAGAAAAAACTTTTTAAACAGGCTATTCAACAAGTTTATCCCATAATTAAAGATCCAAATTGCAGATATAAGAGTCTTACATATATAGGAGCTCCTAGTGAAAAGGTATCATCATATTTAAAAAACCAAAATATTAACGTAGCTTTTAAAACCAATAATACGCTTGGGAAGTATATTAAAAACAATAAGGGTAAAATTAATCCTAATAATAAATCGGGGGTATATAAATTAAATTGTGGTAGTTGTCCAAAATTGTATATTGGTCAAACAGGCCGTACTTTCAAAAAACGCTATTCCGAACATTATAATAGCTATACAAAAAACAAAAATAATTCTACTTACTCAAATCATATTTTAGCTGAAAATCATTCTTTTACAGACAACTTTGAAATTTTACATGTAGAAAATAAGAGCCTTAAATTAAACCATTTAGAAACACTTGAAATAAATAGATTTAAAAATTCAGATAACTTACTAAATGATCAATTAGATATTAATAATTCACCCTTATTAAACCTCTTTCCCAGTTTTCTGTGAGATAATCCCGGTAATGGGCTATCTTATTGTTATTTGATGGATATTGTAATTACCTAAGTACCCTTATTTACTTTAAATAGTTAGTTTATTTTGTAATGTTATTGATGTTTTCTTAAGTACTTTGTTTTGTTAAATTATTTTGTATATATATTGGATACCGAATTGTAAATAGTCACATTTGAAAAAGAAGTTGTACTTCGAAACATATGTCATGTTAGTGTTTGTTTAAAAATTTTTATTTTTAAAATAAAAGTGTGAAAATCTACCAAATTTGGTTTTACTCTTTCAAAATTAAATGGATTTTCATCAAGTAAAGGCCGAAACAATAAATAATATCCACCCTTGTTGAACAAACTACAATTTATTTGTTTTCTTGGTTTAAGTTTTACATCAGAAATAGGAACTAAATTAATTTACTTTTCAAGTTTTCTTGTAAAAATCGATATTACTTTCTCCAAGTACAAATTTAGTACCTACCTAAAATAAGTACTAATTATGTAATATCGTGTAATATTGTAATTCAAATTTCACATTACTATAAAGTTTCAAAATTCCCTACTTCGGTATGGTCAGATAAAAAATGAATATATTATATTAATAAAAACTGTCAAAGTATTACTTCTACAAATCTGTATTTCAATTAATAAGAATACATCTAAATATAACCAATATTGTTAAAATAAAAGCACAAATTCTTTATAATTCCAAAATACCAGAGTTCCCAGACCTCAGTCGAAACATTCGTTTATCTAGGTATAAACCCTTTGCGCGAAGAGTAACACTTGCCAGAGACACGGGGTACCACTTGATTTGCATCCACGAGCGTGACACAATTCTTTAACAATTGAAGCCCTTGGTGTAAAAAAACGTGGTGAAAACCAATGACATGGCTTAACTATTCCAATTTACAACCTTTCAAATTTACAAATTTACATGTAAATATGTTTTTGAGGTTGGTAAGTTCAAAACTGATGTTAACAACTCGATATTGACAGTTGACAGCTGTCAACTAACTGTCAAACAGTATGTGACAATCAAAATTTACAAAATTCAGGAGTAAACAGATGTCAAAAAGACGATATTGACAGTTAACAGCTGTCAAATAACTGTCAAACAGCATGTGACAATCAAATTTAATAAAATCCATATGTAAATATATGTTTTTGAGGTTGCTGAGTTCAAAATTGATGTCAAAAAACGATATTGACAGTTGACAGCTGTCAACCTCGAAGACATCTATTTTTTCCTCAATTTTGATTGTCACCTACTTTTTGACAGTTAGTTGACAGCTGTCAACTGTCAATATTGAGTTTTTAACATCATGTGGATTTTATCGATTTTGATTATTGCTTGTTGTTTGACAGCTAGTTGACATCTGTCAACTGTCAATATTATTATTTTGGCATTAAATTTGAATGAAGCGACCCCAAAAACAAGCTTTTTTAAGGCAGCAAATATTAAACTTTCGAAGAGATTGCCTTTTTAAGTAGTAAGTAATGGTCAATCCGTAGAGCTTTGGAGTTCCGTAGGAGTCAAAATAAGCAAAATTGAGCTCTGTGTCCATTGAGACTTTTGCTCAGGATGCCGAAACGAACAAATTTCAGCTAATTTGACCGGGAGCCAATTTTCATTTTTAGTTATTAATATAAAATTAATTTTGTAACCTGTCTCATGTCATCGTAAGATGATCTAAAGAGAATAATATAGATTTATGTATAGTTGCCCCTTAACGCCAATACAAATAATTAACAGTCCCTCGCCGCACTAGCTATACTTAAATTATCTCAACTAATACACAATCTGGTTTAATTATTTATTCCTCTTATTAAAAAAGTATTAGTAATTTGCATTTAATTATATGTATATTTTTATTGAATTAGTAAAAAACTGAGTACAATCCTGGAATCGCCCAACTGCGCAGACTCTCCGCACCCTGGGCAGGTTCTCCTTGTGTAAACGTTTTCTGAAATAACAGTTCCTATCTCCCTTCATCCATATCGTATGTGTCCATATCTATGAGACCGTCCTGCTACTCTAGTTCTAGTACTATTTTGATTATCACATTTTGTGAGTTGGCAATATGTAAACTGTCATTTCCCAATTACCGTCATTTAATTATTCAAATTGATTTATCAAATTTTTATAACTTCAAGCAGTATTAAAAATGGGAAAAAGAAGTTCGCATCATTATTCTCTTAAAGGTATAGACACCAGTGGAACAGAGCTGATTAAAGCCAAAGCATCTAACATTCCGGTGAAATTTAAAAATCTTGTAGAAGTAGCCGGTGCCATTCGAAAAATGACTTTACCAAGGGCCGATGCTTATTTGAAAAACGTTGTCAAACGTGAAGAATGTGTTCCATTCAAACATTTCAAGAGAGGTATCGGAAAATGTGCTCAAGCTAAGCAGTTCAATACCGTAATTGGTCGTTGGCCAATAAAAGCGATCCAATGTGTGAGGGATTTGTTAAGAAATGCGACTGCAAATTGTGAATACTTCGGGAAGGATCCATCGGAATTTTACATTTATCATGTGCAAGTAAATCCAGCTCCGGTCTCTACAAGAAGAACTTACAGGGCTCATGGAAGAATTACTCCTTATATACGTTACAATAGTCATGTTCAGCTGATTCTTAAAGAACAAGAACAAAAATGAAAGCTTAACTTATAAGTTGGCCATAATGAATAGTATTAATAATGTTATGTAATTAAATAAAACTGTATTTGAATAAGGATAATTTCCCGACCGTAATAGTTTTATATAAATAGAAAGTTTCTTGGTTTATTCGATGAAATAGTTTTTATTTTTTTAACCGACTTCAAAAAAGGAGGAGGTTCTCAATTCATCGTAATATTTTTTTTATGTATGTTCAGCGATAATTCCCTAACACGGTATACGATTTCAATGATTCTTTTTGTTAGAAAGGTCGTACTAATAATATCAATTTGATCAAAATCTAATAATCTAATAATTTGAAAATCCCCAAACTCTTCACTTTTTATGTAGACAGAGAAAACACAAAGATGAAATTCTTTTTGTAAAAAAAAAAGAAAATTAAAATTAGCTTTTGAAAGAAAAACATTTTTATCTTCTCCGTTACCTAATTAAGAAGAATTTTGACTTATTTTTTCTCTCTTATCTCGAGCATTTAATAGAGAAGAGTGAATACGGTCATAAACAACATCCCAGACTTAAAAGGGGCCAGACGAAATAAATAACCCCAATGTTAATGTGTATAAATGCTATGCGAATTGTAACAAATTTCTCGGTAGAAAGAAAAACTTATCTTTCCGGAAAATTTGGTTCATCATGGCTAGAGAGCGGGGTAATTTTCTTTCTTTATGAGTAAGCGACATTTAGAGGTTAAATTTGTATTTAAATTACATAAAATACATCTTAAGCTTCAGTTATAAAGCTTTTAAAATTTAAGAACCACTCATACCGTTTTATTTTTACGAGATTAAAGACTTATCGTAGTGTTCATCAAATTTCTAGAGGTGTTCGACGCCCAGACAGAGAACGCGCTACGTGTGACTAAGATAGCTATTGTACAGTCTGCTAAACAAGTTATTTTAAATAGTTTTTAATATTTTTAGGTAATTAAATTTTAAAAGTGTGGAATAGTTTAGGGATTAAATTGGTTTGATTGGACTTTCTTAGAACGTTTTTAAAAGCAGCTAAAGATAGTATGTAGAATTGAAAATAATTATTATGCCATAAAAGGTGTTTTGGAATTCCTTCATCCTTTTGAAATTGAGTCAGAAAATATACATTTTATAGGATAGCGGAAAATACCTATAATTTTTTTGTAGGCCTTTGTAAATCGTGGAAATAGTTTATATTTTATTTCTACCTTATTAAGGAAAATGGTACCTATTATTAATAACGGTTGTTTCTGAAACATTACTAAAATTTTCGAAATTTTGTTTTTCTACAAAATAATAAACTATACTATTTAGAAAAAAATTTATTTCTCTTATAATTTTATAAAAAATAACAGGGGAATATTTACATTTCTTGATCTATTAAACAAAACGATAAATTATCTCGACGAATGACACCATGTTCTAGTACGGACTAGCTTTACATTTTTGTTGGTGGTTTCATGGGTTTCATATCAATTTTTTGTAATTGTAGTTTACACGTACATATACCTCTTAACACTTGTTTGCTTTATTAAAAAAGTGTGTTGTTGTGATTTACGTCGAAATAAGTCAAAAACAACTTGAAACCCCATATAAAATCAAAAAGGAGAAACGGAAAAAAATTGAGCCTGTAAATGAACACAACTCAGAAACAAAAATAGCTATCTAATAATAAAAAAATAAAATTTGATTCTTGTGCAGCTTCATCTATATCATTAACTGTTTTTGGTTTTTCTTGGTGATGAAAATTCCGATATCTCACGGTTATCGATTCTTTTTTTCTCTCCAGAAATGCGGACGACAGTGTTTTTAGATACTCCTGTGGCTGCAGCAACACGATCATTTACATTTTTAAATGGTATTGAAGGTGAATTAAAGTTTCCTTCTCTTCTCATAAACTCTATAACATTGGCTATTATTTCGCGAGATTGACTGTTAATCACGCGGCCTCTTAATTTGCTATTAAACTCCATACTTAGGTTCTATTAAACTGTAATGAGCAAAAAACACAAACGAAAATAAAAGAAATGTTTTAGCGAAATTTACATCTGACATTTACGTCAGAATGAAATAGTGAAATACTTGATGCGCAGAGTGTACTTTCATTGCGTAAATCCGTCGGGATGCCTGTCAGTAGTGCTTTCTCTGTCTAGCCGTCGAAAGCCTCTAGAAATTTGATGAACTGTAATCTTGAATATTGTTTTATCGTTAAAAAAAATATATCATAAGGCATTTCTTTATAAGCTTACCACGACATACTTCGTAACCTCGTTGTGGTTACTCTGATGATGTCAGACATACCGTGGTAACTCGTAGCACTTGTCGTTGTCACATGTCAAATTGGGGGTTTGTTTACTTTGTTTTTGTTCAGATAAATAAAAGTGTTTTTGTCACAGACGTCATTTGGTTTTCGTTCTTTTGTTATTTATTTAAATATGTCTCCTCCAACAAAAGGAAGAAAAAAAATTAATAAGTGTTTTTGTGATGAAATAACAATGATAAATACTTGTGCCAGTAGTCTCATATTTTCATCTTTATATTTCAATATAAATAACAGTATCCAGTGGTCATCAACATCGCTCTCATGAAGAGTTATGTCAGTGCCCTGTATTTCAAATGTAATTTCTTTGGTAAATACAAAAATACCCAACCCAAATATACAAAATGAACCATATAACCCGTAACCACAGAAAAATGTATCTAATTTAATCTCTTTACAATACTTTGCGCATGCTCGATATGTTCAAATGTGACCTTACTGACCTTACCACACACCTTACCACTAAAAACATCATGGTTAGTAGTAGTTACGTATTTTGGTAACGTATGACGTCATGGAAGTAACCAAACCGTTTAAAGAATTGCTTTGGTTACATAAGTATGTTCTAGTAAGTTATGGTAAGCTTGTAAAGAAATGCCTTTAACCTCGTACAATAATTATAAACAAAACAAACAGAAAATTTATTAAGGTGCGTTTACACGAATGGGAGTCACTGAAAAAATTAAGATTATGTTTTACATTTTGTCTAAAAATAATAGAATAATTTAATTTTGTAATTTATAAATAAATTTTCCAGCTGAATATTGGTTTTTAGTGTTTTTAGAATCTATAAAAATAATACAAAACAGGTGTAAATTCGTGAAGTAGATTTTTTGTAAAAAAATATGTAGAAGATCATCCTGTATAAGTGTGAGAGCATAGATAAATTAATATTTAAAATAAACCGTTTAAATGCACGACACTGGTAATTAGTTTAGTTCCTCAGCATACTATTTGGAACCACCATCGCAATAAGATGTTGCCAGTTTCCATAAACTTTCATGAGATTAGAGTTATTTCAAACATCTTATTTTGATTTTATCAAGCTCGATACCATCCATACAATGGCATACTATTGCATACTATTTTTGGGATATTTTAAAGAGAGGTTTGACAACTATGTTGACAACCTCGTAAAAATGAAAAAAGGAATGGTGGGAGGCAAAATGGGTGAATTACAATTAAATAAAAGAATAATAAAAGTTATTTTCATGATATATCCCCTCAAGGAATTAGTAAGTATTAACACTTTAATACTATTAGCTGTTAGATTTCTTAGTCTTAATTAAATATAATTTCTTTGAATCTATTTCCAATTATTTTTGAATATATTTGTAACAATAACAAAACCCGGGTAAATCGTCGAAAGGTAAAACTAGGTATTCTTGTTTAGCTCCTAATTGTTTAAATAAGTATTTTAATATTCAAGTTGGGTATTAAAATAAAAACTTGTTCATTTTCATGTTAAAATTCGTAAGAATTGGTTTAAGAATTTAAATTTAATTTTCTTTACATAATAAAACTTACTATCTTTGTGGTGTGAAGATCATTTTTTGCCAGAGACTTTTAGCAAAATTGCCCCAAAACGTAAACAACTAATTGCAAATGCTGTACCAATTTTATTAGAGTCAGATTTTAGAAAATGTTGAGGCTGAAAACATACACAGCAACATAAGATAGATTTGCTTACCTATCCACAACGAAGACAAGAAATGAGTTACAAACGTACTTAGTATTAATGATAAACAATTTGAACAACCCTCAAAACGAAGAAAAACTGTTTTGTAACAAATAAATGAAAGTAGAGTCAAAAATTTAATTCCCAAAGAGAAAAAGCTTAATTTTATTGATAGAAAACAAAATATTAGAATTTGTAAGCTAGAGAAAGCTTAGTTTTTCCAAAAATATACGAATTTTAGACAAATTTAAAATATTTGTACTTATAAGAATGGCTAACATTTTGATAGGTAAGAGAAATTGTTCAATAACATTTTTTTTGTTTTTATAGAAACACCTACATCAAAATTTGGTCCATTTTTCAAGAATAAGAGGAGACTACTATTAATTTCACTTACAATTATTATTGTTTTTAATATTGAGTGCACATGTTATGTATGTAATAAATGTTTAAATACACCTTACTTGTATTAAATGATTAAACTATACCTGTTTTTCAAATATTTTAATATAAACATTTCTTTATTTATATTGTTTGGGGTTTTATTACTTTAACAAACTAATATTTATGTTAAATACAATATTTTAATTTAAAAATTACTTAGTTTTTTTAGAGTAATAAATGACAAAAAATGTAAATACATAAAGAACATTTGAATGAACCTTGGATACGCTTTTTAACCGACTTCAAAAAAGGAGGAGGTTATCAATTCGTCGCGATATTTTTAATCTTTTTATTTTCTTCTTGTCTGCTGCCTTTAACTGTCAAGCCAATCAGCCCAATTGTGTAGTGTGCGATAATAGCTCCAAATAGTATGCTAAGGAACTAACAACTTGTTGCCTGTACCGTGTATTTAAACAGTTATTAATTTATCTATGTGTGGGTGTCTGGATATTGTCAAGTTTGACAGATGTTATGTTTAATATTTTGTAGAGAGATACAAATAAAGCATATTTGAGCGAATACTCCTATTTTATTTCATAATATATTATAACAAGAGGCAAAGAAAATA